CCTTTCCTCATCTCCCCCACCTTCCCTGGTCCCCCCCAATCCTTCCCCTGACCCTCCCCCCTCTCCATCCTTCCCATGCCTCCCATCCCCCCATTCCCTCCCCGGCTCACCCCCCCTCCAGCACCCACATAGCATCCCACGCCAGCGGGCTGGAGGGCCAGATAGTGGGCCAGTGTGGGAGATGTGGGCTGGTTTTCTACGAGCAGGAGACCTACGTGGCCCACATGGTGTCTGCTCAGGAGCTCATTGACGCAGAGGTGGGTCAACACACATTACGCACAGACTCACATACACACAGGCGCAGACACACTACGCACAGACGCACATACACAGGCGCAGACACACCACGCACAGACACACATACACAGGCGCAGACACACACAGGCGCACATACACAGGCGCAGACACACTACACACAGACGCACATACACAGGCGCAGACACACTATGCACAGACGCACATACACAGGCGCAGACACACTACGCACAGACACACTACGCACAGACGCAGACACACACAGGCGCAGACACAGACACACTACGCACAGACGCACATACACAGGCGCAGACCCACACAGGCGCAAACACACACACACACACAGACAAACACACACAGAGAAGCACGCACTCAGGCGCACATACTCAGACACATGACACAGACACTCACACTCACACAGACACAGATGCACACACACACTTATACACTGATACACTTACACACACACCACACACACACACACACACACAGATACAGACACACACAAAGACGCACACACTCAGATACAGACACACACAGGCAGACACACACATGCAGAGATACTAATACAAACACATACTCACTTTCATGCACATAGTTGTCTAATAATTCATTTGAAAATATGATGTTTGTCCTATATATATATTTTTTTTAAAGATCTATTTCAATCTGTTGGTGTTAGAGCATACAGTTACCATCAAGCAGCCCTGGAAAAGTAACTGATTAAGCGCTCGCTCAAACACTAACAAGCTGACAAGATCTTTCTACCGTCTAGAGCGGGGTACTTATTTTCAGTGTCACCTGAGTGAAGTGAGGAAAATTTGTGTAAAGTGCCGTTCCTTTCCCGTAGACACAACAGCGGGTCCCTGATGGGTTCTGTAATATATCCCGGTAATGTTGGTTAAATGAGCAATAACTGTGTTTGGTTCACTACGGTTAATTGTCGTAGTTATGTCTCCTTGTTTGAAGGTATTAATTTGGTACTCTTCAGGATGAGCAATTAAAAGTTGTGACTCAGTAGTGTCCTAGTTGTCACTGGTGATAGAGTCAGGGGGAGTCAGGGGTGCCCTGGGCCTCATCCAGTATTCT